TGAATGCTTGGAGGACACGCAAATTTTTGCAAAAACAAAGTGAGCCTGATCAATGAAGGCAATTTATAAGTTTAATGGATCTAGATTACTAAAAAAAAAGTTTAATGGATCTAATTGATGACTAACTTCAGTTTCCAAGACATTACAAGAAAGATAAACTGCAAATCAATATCCCTGTAGGGGAAAATCTATAACAAACTATTATCAAATCAAATTCAGCAGTACAGTAAAAAAAAAAGAGATGATCATGTCCAAGTGGAGTTCATCCTGGGAATGCAAGGCTAGTTTATACTGTTGAAAATCAGTCATGCAACTTACCATCTTAACAGAGCAAAGAAAAAAATTTGTATGATCAGCTTGATACATGAAAAAGCATGTGACAATTTCTGTTCATGATAGTGATCAGCAAAATACGAATAGAAGGGAATTTCCTCAACCTGATGAAGTTGAAAACCTACAATTAACATCATATTTAAGACTGCAGGATGCACTGTGGGAGCCCATGATTGGGTTAACAAATTGTAACAGACCCCAGCCGCTTATCTCTTTAAAGAAGAGCAAATGTGCTTAGTAACCACCTTGTTTGCATAGTTGAGGTTTTAGCAACGACTCAGGCCCTGGCTGTAAATGCTGGGCGTGCCTGCTGTTAGATAGTCTTCTATTTCCAAAACAGCCTTGGGCTGGAATGGCAAACAAGTTATAAAAAGCTGCAGACTCAGAGGTGAGAAGGCTGGTTAGCCAATGACGGGTAAGATCCCCTGAGGGGGCAACCTAAGACAGGCACAGCTACCTGAGTCCAAGAAAAATGTTGTTAAGCAGCTGATTCTCATTCATTCTGCCCTGATAAGCTGTAAGGCTCAACACAAATGTGATTTACCAAAAAGGGTCTTCTGACCTTGAGCCAAACACCAACAGTAAACAAAGCCTTTGTACTCATTGTGATCCCACCCTGTCCTTCCCTAAATTCCTGCATTCCTCCTTTGACCGTACACAATAAATACGGGAGCATTTGAGAGGCTCCTGGAGTTGGCTCCCAACTCACTCTCACTCTCGACTTTTTCCACAGAGTCTTGAGTAATTCATTCCGTCTCAGTGGGACTTTTGCCGGCCAGAACCCACAATGTATGATCAGTATACAGAAGTCAATTGTATTGCTATATACTAGTGATGAACAATTGGAATGTGAAGTAAGAAAGAACCATTTGCAACCACACCAGAAAAAGAAATACTCAGGTGTAAATCTAACAAAACATGTACATCTCTATGCTGCAAGCTATGAAATCATAATGGAAGAAATCAAAGCAGAACAAATAAATGCAGAAATAGACCTTGTGCATGGGTTGGACGATTCAATAATGGTAAATATCAATTATCCTCAGTATATCTATGGATTCATGTAATCCTAATTAAAAATCCAGCAGAAATCTTTGTTAACAATGTTTGTCAGTATCAATAAGCTGACTCTAAAATGTGTAGTAGCGAAGGCAAAGGAAACAGGCCAGCTAAAACAGGTTTGAAAATGAAGAACAAAGTTTTAAGACTCATGCTACCTGATTTCAAGACTTCCTAGAAAGCTGCAATAATCAAGTCAGTGTGGTATTGGCTAAATGATACACACATAGATTGTAGAAGAAAATAGGTTGACCAAAAGTAGACACAAATGTGGTTAGCCGATTTTTGGCAAAGATGCAAGGGCGATTCAATTGAGGAAAGAGACTGTCTTTTCAGGAAGTGTGGGAAAACTACTCCCATGTGCATATATCCACAAGCAAGACAAAAACACCAACCTTGACCCACTCCTTACACTTCATACAAAAATTACTTGGAATGCATCACAAACCTAAACGCAAAAAGTGAAGAAGTACAACTTCTAGAAGGAAACATAGGAGAAAAACTTTATGACCGTTTTGTTAGGCACAGGCAAACAGAATCCGGAAAAGAAAGACATTGGTAAAGTATACCTCTACGTAATGAACAACGTCTGCTCTGTTGAAGACACTGTCAAGAGATGAAAAGACACTCTTACATCCTGAGACCTCGCTTGTTAGAAGAAAATAATTGCAAATCACATATTTCATAAAAGACTTATCTAGAATATATAACGCTCAAAACAATGAGAAAACAAGCAACGCAAAAAGTGGGGGAAAGTTTGAACAGATGCTTCCCAAGAAAGATATACAAGTACCAAATAAGGACATGCAGAGATGCTCGTTAGAATTAGTCATCAGCAAAATGTAAATTCAAGCCACAGTGGCATACATCTATACAACTATCAGGATGCCCTGCAGCCTCAAGAAACCCCCGTCTCCCCTAAGCTGTACTGGTGAGGATGCATAGCAACTGGATCTCTCCACCATTGCTAATGAGAGACGGAATCTACAAAGGGAAAATGACCAGACTTGTATAAAGAAATAAAACTCTGACCTACAACTTCTGCAGCAACCAGTCCAGAAAGTCAAACCACAACTCTGGAGCAATTGGCCCCAAACGGTCAGAACTTGGTCAATAATTGCCAGCTTCTCTAATTTTGCTCCTGCTTCCACTTTAGGACCAACCAGAGAAAGACATACGTGCTCCATTAACCAGTCGCACAGGAGGCCCCGCTTCCAGTTAGCTCGCCTGCAGTCGTCCCATGCCAACAGCCCCTTTTCCACCGTAAAGTTTACCAACTACCCACCTGCCTTTGAGTCTCTGCCAAGTATGTGTGATGGTGTCTGACTCCCTTGCTATAGAGTAAGGTCTGAATACATAGCCTCTGTTCTCATTTGGGGTGGGGGAGGTCTTCAGTTATTTCCCCACTGGGGGGAATGCAAAATGGTACAACCACGATGGAAAGCTGGGAGTTTATTACACACTTGCTGTATGAGATCCAGGTCCAGCCATCTCACTCCCAAGTGTTTACCCAAGAGAAATGAATATACTTATGTTCATACAGCAGCCTATGTGCAAATCTTTATAGCAGTTTGCTCCATAATCCCCCCAAATAAAACAGCCTAATGTCCTTCAACTGGACAGTGGAATCCTATCTCAGCAGAAGAAAGAGTAGAGGATGATCAATGTCAAGCACCTCTTTACACTTTCCAAAAACTCCACTCTCTTAAGGAAGGGAGTGTCTACAGAGGCTGCTGAACGCCGGATGTTGAGGTCTTCCACCCACAATTATTTCACTAGAGAATTTCTTAGTGACTATAAGTTCACCTAATAGTGTAGACAAAACTTACTGTTGTAACATCCAATTCCAGACTGTACATTCATTCCCCGAAAACTCTAAGACTTTCAGGACCTAGCTTCAGAAGTCATACAGCATCACTTCTGCCATATTCTATTGGTTACAAAGACCAACCCTGATATATTTGGGAGAAGACTATGCAAGGGCATGAATACCATGAGGTGTGGCTCACTGGGGCCCATTCTGAAGACAGGCTACCACTGCATGGCCTCTGGCCCGCAACCATTGATATTCCTCCCACATGCAAAATGCACTCATCCCCTCTTGAGGCACTCCAAGATCTAATTCCACTATAGAATCAGCTTGAAGTCCAGAATTTCATCATCTAAATTAGGTCCAGGTATAAGTGAGATTTCTCAGGCACATTTCCCTAAGTACAGCTTCTCCAGTGAAATCCTTCTCCTTCTGAAGACCTGTGAATTAAAGAGAAAGTCATCAGGCCCCCAGTGACTGCTGGGGGCAGAGGAACGGGGTGACTTGGAGCCAAGAGGCATGGAGATACCACGAGTGAACCCCACTATGTACCCTTCGAACATTGAACCACATGAATGTACTCCCCAATAAAAAAACAAACAAAAAGCAAACAAGAAACTATGCATTGCAGACATATTTTGACCGACTTCATTTATTTTACCAGCTTATATATACTACTCTGTCCCATGGTGGTACTAGTGTTCATTTCACTGTTCCCTTAGGATTTACACTGCCTGGGAGTTATCTGTTTGCCTTTGACTCCCCCAAGGGAAGGACTTATTTATAAGGGATCTTTCAGTTCAGTGGGTTTCAGCAAACACTACTGACACCCAAAAGCCCTCATATTGTGCTGAATACAGGGGAAACAAAAGTGACTAAGTGGTGCTGGGAACGCAGTCCCTGTCTAGGAGGAGCTCACCTTAGCGGGGGATCCAGACATACAGACAGATTGCTGTGCGGCAGTATTCAGTGTGCCATAACAGAGGTGCACACAGTGTGACAGCAGCAGAGGGGAAAGCTGGTCAGCTCTGGTGGGGGTAGTGGGGAGGGGCAGAATTGCCAGGAAAGACTTCTCTGAAAAACTGGCTCTAACCAGGGATAAGAAGCCTGGACAAAATTTTCCAGGATCAAGGAATGCAAGCAAGTATGGGAAAGATAGGGCTCCAGCCCAAAGTGGAGAGACCAGAGATGAGGATGGGGTGCAGTGGGACGAGGTGGGAGGAGGCAGGACAGGTGGGCAAGGGCTTTGAATGCCCAGGAGTTTGGACTTTTATCCTGCAGGCAAGAGGAGGCAGAGGTTTTTAAGCCAGAAAGGAATGAGCCCCTGAGTCTGGCACAAGGCAAGGAGGCAAGTTTCCCCTGTAGGTCAAATGAGTTCCGTGGCTGAAATATACCTTTCTCCAACGCTGCTGCAGACTAGCTCTCCCTGCCTTGTGTGTGTGTTTCGATGGAGGGGGCTGCCAGCCACACGCACCATCTCACTGTCTGTCCGCTGAGCCGATTCCTTCTTCCTGCATGTTTTCTGCCCAAATCGTCATCTGCTTCCCCTACCATCCTCCTCCCAAACCAGTGGTTTGCACCCCCTGGCCCTGCCACGGCCCCACCTTCTTGGGCTGAGGGCTGAGCTCCGGGCTGCACGGAGCTGGGGGCCCCGGAGCGTGGCCAGCCGGGGCTGCTTGGAGACCTGCCACCCACACCCCCGACCGCCTCAAGGCTTCCGAGGGGCGGGGTCTCAGGCCCGGTTATTTGGCGCGTCCACCCTCCTTCCCCCTCACAACCCGCCAGCCCTCCGCGCACGATGGGTCTCTACCGCGTCCGCGTGTCCACCGGATCCTCGCTCTGCGCCGGCTCCAAAAACTGGGTGCAGCTCTGGCTGGTCGACCAGCACGGGGAGGCGGCGCTCGGGTCGTGCCTGTGGCCGGCGCGGGGCCAGGTGAGCGGACCGGGGCCGGGCG